TCTGTTCTTAAATGACATTAGAGGACAGGAAAAGGATTTAAGTTGATTAAAGTGAAGAGCACAGTCTAAATTCGTTTTCATCTGCAGACGACGACTTTCATCCGACACGCAAACAGCTGTCTGGGAAGTGCAGACCCCGCCCCCCTCCCCTCCCATCATCAAACTCAACCACCTCAGTAGAAACACAAACATTAGCAGATGTTCCAGTAAGTAAATGTCACTGTCTATTCCGCATGCTGCATGCTTAGGAATGTCGTCTGCTAACTACGTAATGATTAATTTATTTCACTGTTTTAAATAGAGCTCATCTTGGGCATGTCTGTGTTCATTTTAAATTTGATTAACAGAACTGTTTCATTTTTGATGCTAATTCTATGTATTACTTATTCATATCACTCTCTAAATTATTATAACTGTCCTGATGTTAAAATTAATGTTTTGAAATAGAGAAAAATATTAACACTGAACCTAATTTTTTTTAAAATGTAATTAAGCTAAGATTATTTTATTCTAGAGTATCATATAAAATCATAATTCCTTGAATATCATATAAATATTATACAGCATACAGTGTGTCCCAAAATTCACCTAAAATTCTCGAATTCCTATATACTCTAAATAGTCCGGAATATTTGGCAATGAAACACAGGATTGTACAAAATCATATAAAACCTTGAAGATTATATAAATATTATACAGTATACAATGTGTCCCAAAAATCACTCCAAATTCTTGAATTCATAAACGTTCTAAACAGGCAATGGAAGGCATATTGGGCAATGAAATATTTGACAATGAAACAGATGATCATATACAATCATATAAATCCTTGAAATTCATATAAATACTATACAGTATATAATGTGTCCCCCAAAACTCACTCAATATTCTCTAATTCCTAAATATTCTGAATAGTCTAGAATATTTGGCAATGAAACAGAGGATCGTATAAAATCATATAAATCCTTGAATATTATATAAATACTATATAGTATTCAATGTGTCCAAAAATTCACGCAAGATTTAAATTCCTAAAGAACCTAAATAGTGTGAAATATTGGGTAATGAAACAGCTGATATCCCTTCAAAAGACATCTTTAGCCTTGTTATTTGGTGGTGTTGCACGGGAAATGGAGTATACCAAATTGTCTTCTAAAACAATTCATCGTGTACCTTTATTAAAAGCATTAATTGTTGAGTGAAATTTGAGACACCCTTTATGTATTACGAAACTTAAAGGAGTCATAATCACTGAACGAACTCTTTATCTTTAAATATGTTAAATTTTTATAAAAATCCATTGTCGATTGTTAGGAAAAAAGTATCATACAGGACAGCTTAACCTCGAATCCGCTGGCAGAGTTTAGTTTGTCCCTCTACGGTTATTTTGTGCACACTTTAGGCTAATTAGAACCGGGACCTATACTTTAACGTGGATTCCGAATCATTGGTGGAGTTCTGTTACAATCATTACTTTCAGAAATTTGAAGACTCGATTACGATTTAGATAGTATCTCTCAATGGTAGTCAGGCTGCCTGGTAACGATGGATCTGGTTTTCCTTTGGTATGAATAGCAAATGTGTTTCATTTACCACTTAAACTCTCACCTCAATCATTCATCAGTAGCCTATTAAAGATATACATAGTGTACAAGAGATCCATATATGTATGGTAAAAGATAATAAAAATATATGCATGAGATTTATTGAAAACCCTTAACAGATTGACTTGTTGGCCATAACATTAAATATTATGAACCATAAATAAATGGAAATACCAGAATTTGACGCAAAGTTGTAATAAAGTGAATAAATATAGAAGAATGAGATTTATGAATGGAGAACAGCGATATAAATAAAACTGATAGTAGATAGTATGAGAAAGAATGTGTTAATATTCATTTAATGCTACTTAGTGTAAAGCAGACATCCTGACTATGATTTTTTTTCAAAGAGCAATTTAATCAATTGGAAGGTCTTACAAAGAGTAATTGCATTTCAACTCAATTGAATGCATCATAAATCAGATTTTGAATTATTATTTTATTTACTAAGGTAATAAATATATCTACTTTGATATAAATGTTGCAGTCTTGTAAGACAGATAATCTATTAAATAATCTTCATATTAAAGTATTGTCACATTTGACAGTGAATCAGTTAACACCTGCCTATTCTAGCAAGTTGCAGTTTGACCTTGAAAGCAAAGTCAAAATATTTCACGCTGTGACTGCACGGGCGGATGTTATTTCATATTATGATAAATACTTTGAAACGAATAGGAAAATTAATGTTTAAGGAGGGAAAATTAAAATTATCTTAAATGTTTGAAAAATATATGGTTGGTATATTAAAAATTTTTAGCAATAAGTTTGATTTCTTATTCATAAGTTTTTTTTTTTTTTTTTTTTTTAATTAACTTATGAATTACTATTATAGACTATTATTATTATTACTATATATTTATGTTTTTAGTTTATAAGTTTAATTTAATTTTTGAATCATATTCATAAGTTTGATTTTATATATGTTATTATTATTATTATTTTACTTGTATTGGAATTTGCCTTGAAATTGGAAATAAAAAAAATAGTTTAATTTCGACTTTAAAAAATGATTTGCAAATCCTTTAATCAGAATTTAATTTAAAGCCGAATTGTTTAGAATAATTTAATATTAAATCCTCATTAATTCATTATAAAATTCAGTAATATTATTCAATAGTAATTTAAACATAAAAAATGCGATTTTTACTAAAAAAAAAATTTTTTTTTTCTAACAAATCTTTTGAATGACAGCTATATAAATATAAAAATCTTCAGTGCAAGAAATATCATTTAATAATATTTTGTATTTATATTTATTAATGATAATGCTAATTCATGTAAGTAGTTATATCGGAATAGTCATAAGGTAGAAATTTGTGTTCAATCATTATGTGAAAATAATTGAAAATGCTTTAGAGAAGTTATACTTTATATTTAAACAATTATATTGAATCCTTTATAAGTTATTATCTCAGGAATTTTTATGTTATATTTTTTCTTTAAACTAACTGGAAGTATTTTCTATTTTAAGGATTAAAACTTTTTGAACCAACTTTTCAAAGTTTGGAAAAATATCTCGCTATTAAACAAATAATTAACCCTCATGCTGATAGATTCGTAACTATAAAGGATATATTAATATATGGTTCTGTCATATATATTATACGGTGTTTAATTTTAAACTAGCCATATTTAACATATGCCTTTTAAAGTAGCCATATTTAACATATGTCTTTTAAAGTAGCCATATTTAACATATGTCTAATTTTAAAGTAGCCATATTTAACAAGTCTATTTTGAAACTAGGCATATTTAACATATGGTGTCTATTTTTAAAGTAGCCATATTTTACACATGGTTTCTTTTAAAATAGTTATGACTTCTAAAATTATTATTGACTACATTTTTTATTTTTAGTATTTTTCTACAGGAAAATACCTGGCATTTCGATTGCAATGTGTTTCACATTTAAATCTTCTCTAAACGGAAATTAATATTTAAAAGTATACTATATTCTTTCGAAAGAGTATTTGTTACCATCAAATTGCGAATAATTTGTTTTAGATTTACAGTCATCCATTCACGTTTTATTATTAATCAACAACAGTGATTCATGGACAACTTGATAAATAGCTTTAATATACAAATTAGAAACTTAAGATAACTATCATTTGAAAAATATCTAATTCGATACGATACGATACGATATGATACGATTTCCAATCGAAGGAACATTCAACGAAAGAGCAACGAATCCATTATCTCGCTCGATGGCTCAAATTATGTGCTCCAAGAATCTTCAATTTTCCAAACGACTGGCTATATTTTCTTACTCCAATCATAACAATTAAGTTAAAATATCTGGAGTTTAATTAAAACTAGATAATATTTGTCTTACAATGGTGGATATCTTGAAATTCTATTTTGATGTCTGTAGTTTATTTTTATTTAGGAATCACTCATTAACACCACTTTAAGCAATTCCCTTTATTAATTATTACGATCTGTTGTTTTAGTCATTAGTTTGATAATCTTTATGATATTCTTTGAAAATTTTATACGTATCCGCAAGCAATACTTTTATGATAATCACAGGCTTCACTTAATGACAAATTGCAATTTATTATGTGAGAATTGACAAGACATCTCGCAAAATGCAGTTACCCTCTGCTATTTATGTCAACAATTCAGTTGTATTATTAAATGAATTGGAAAATTCGTTCTATATAAATATTGAGAACATCGATTATCAATTTATTTTGCGACTACATTTATTAGAACATCGTAACAGGATATTTAGAATGAAAATAACAATAACTTAATCTAATATAATCTTTGGATAACATTTTCACATTGTAATTTCATCCTCCAAAAATCAATAAACTACTTTAAGCTAATCAACCATTGTTTTCATTCGTTACAGAAAATTATCATGTAATAATGGTAAACGCAATTGCTATTAAATTGATTTAACAAATTCAGTTTTGAATAGCTTTCATTATTTGAATAGCACAAAATACAAGTCCATAAATTGAATAATCCTTCGCGCATAATTATCTAATGAAGTTAATGGTCTTTAAAATTTAGTAAAGTGTTTTTATCAGATTTCTTATTCTAATTAAATTGAGTTTATAATTTAAGCTGCAACTAATTATTTCTAAAATCTTTTATAGTACTTCTACTAGATTTTCATTATTGTATATCAATTTATAACGTAATGTATTTTTCAAACAATTAGGTTACGATGCAATGTATCTGCATAAGTCAATAATAAAGGTTGTAAATTAAATAGTGACAAATTTCTGTAGAATTTTAATATGATGGGAAACAAACGTACGGCATCTAGCTAATATATAATAATATCATTAATAATGTTATTAGTTACATATCTATTCTTTCTTTTAACGTACTGACTCTCCCTTCCATATTATGCAAGTACAGATTGATTCAGCCAGCGGCCATACCATGCTGAATATACCGGTTCTCGTTAGATCACCGAAGTCAAGCATCATTGGGCGCGGTCAGTACTTGGGTGGGTGACCACCTGGGAACACCGCGTGCCGTTGGCATTCACGCATTTAGGACCTGAATGGCCGAGTGTCTAGCGCTCTGGCCCTCGGTACCACAGGTTTCGGGTTCGAATCCCAGCGGTGCCATGGATGTTTGTAATGGTTCGGAATCCACTTTAAGCCGTAGGTCCCGATCTCCCATGACCGTAAGAGCGACACGGAGCCAAAGTCAGACTTCTACCTACGGGTGCTCCATCACAACAGAAGCTGCTTACTTCCCCTTCAATCATGAGTACGTATGGGCTCGTGGGCTTGGCCAGCCAAGTGGGATAAGAAACAACAAAAACAGATTGATTATAAAATTTGGTGCAAAATAAAATGACAATGTAATGGGAACTAAATAATTCCTCTAATATACAATATTACAAATAAGTTAGTTGCATATCTATTTTTTCACTGTATGTCTAAGTTGGACCAAATAATACCACCAATACACATTACTGCTAATATGTTAGTTGCATATCCATTCTTCCATTTAATACGTAAAATTCATATCAATTCTTCCATTTAATATCTTCTTTCCATATTATACATGTATATAATGACTTAAAAACTTGCAAAGCGAAACGCTCATGTAATGGGAACTAAATAATACAACTGATATGTTAGTTGCATATCTATTCTTTCACTTAACATGTAAACTAGCTCTTTCCACATCATGCAGGCATAGGTTGATTCAAATTTCAACAGTTGATTCAAAAATTTCACATAAACAAGGAGATACCATGACGATTGTGACAAGTTACTTGAAAAGACGACGTGTAAAGTAATTGGCTTCGATAGTCAGAGTGACCAAAGAGAGTTTTCGTATGCTTCTATAGTACGACACTTGAATCCGGAACAGATAATCGGAAGACAGTCTTCGGTGGGCTGTTTGTGGTATGAATGACGCCCACCGACATTTTACCCCTAGGGATGGGCAAACTACGGCCTGCATGCCAACTCCGGCCCCCCGGAAGGTTCTATACGGCCCGCGGATAGAATTTTAAATTGTCGGTCCGAAGCAAATTAAAAGAAATATATATTTATATAATTATTTATCCATCTCTTTTTTTTACTTTGATTAAATATTAATTTTTTTCTTCCTTTTTTTTCAAAGGTCTGATGATCTTTTTATTTTCTCTATTTTAGTTCTACAAAACCTAAATCGACGGAAATAGCAAGCACAGACAACTTTCAATCGGAAAGGATTTGTAAGTTGAATTAATTGAGTTGCAATCTAACAATCATCTCAAGCAGTTGTTTCTAAATATGCCAAAGTTATAGTTTTACAAATCATTATAAAAAGTAAGTTTCCCAAATTTAATGTCTCACGCCCAGAAAATCAGTGCTATGTTTGCTTCATCTTATATATATGAACAAGTATTTTCAATTATATGAACCTTAGAAAGGATTGTTTCAGAGTAGACTGACAAATGAGCATTTGGCCTCGTTCCTCAGAATCAGTACATCTCACTTCGAACCTCAATATAAGGAACTTTTAAAAATGAAATCCCAATTTCATTCATCTCATTGACATATTTAAATTGTAATAGTTGTATATGGTTTTAAAATTTTAGAAAAACTTATCTTGGTCCGCCAAACGTTTTTTTTTTTTCGATTTTGGCCCGCGACCGAAAAAGTTTGCCCATCCTGTTTTACCCTCTCCTTTCTAACTGGTAGGGGGGGCTACATAGCCGTTGATACTGAGTAGTTGTTATGGAAAAAAGAAAAGCTGTCTGGTGAAAGTTCAGTTTTTCTCTCATATATCATTTAAATGAGAGTAGTTACTATTACGTGCCTTCCCGGAAAGCCATGCCTGCTTTCATCAACGGGCAGTGAACTATTCATCACATATATAAAACGGAAAGCTATATGCTACAGATGTACCACAAAAAATAATGATTTTGTCAAGTCTTGAATATTGAAAGCTTTATTTAATAATATTTCCCAAAGAGTATTTACTAAAGATTTATGAAATAGTATTGAGTTTTCTTAATATAAAGTACATTCGTTTTTTGCAATAAAAAGTGAAAACCGACATATCTTTTTTGCCAACCCAATCTATTACAATCTTAATTACATAACATGTGGGCTGAAACGTTCATAGGCTGACACATAGATGGCGCTACTAGAATTAAATCCATATAATTTTTAGTTAGCCCTAACCTTCAAAAGACACGTGTATAAATTTGACAGCTGTTGCACTATTAGTATGGGAGTTACAGCATTTTTAGTGAAGCTACAGTATTTTTAGTGTTCATTACGTGCAGTCCACTCGGCTGACTGTTGATTCGACTCCGGAGTGAAATGATGCAGCCATATTTCCCAATTCATTCACGATGTGACCAACACGTTCCTTTGATATCTTTAGGGTCTCAGCAATCTCAATCAACTTCACTTTACGGTTATCAGATTTTATTTTGTGGACTTTTTTGATGTTTTCGTCGGTAACAGCCTCTTTGGGGCGTCCACTGCGTGCATCATCCTCGGTGCTCATTTCGCCTCGTTTAAATTTAGCAAACCACTTCTCTACGGTTGATTTTCGTGGTGGAAAGTCCGAATAATGTTTATCAAGCCAAGCCTTGGCTTCAATAGTATTTTTTTCGCCAAAACGCAATGCTTTATTAACACACGAAATTCCATTTTATCCATTTTTTCAAACTAACAAAAGTTGCTTCACTAAAAATGCTATAACTCACATACTAATAGTGCAACAGCTGTCAAATTTATACACGTGTCTTTTGAAGGTTAGGGCTAACTGAAAATCATATGAATTTAATACTAGTAGAGCCAGCTATGCCAGCCTATGAACTTTTAAGCCCATTTTGTTTCATAAAACATAGTATAAATCAGAGGCTTATTTTTTTTTATCAGCATTACTAGTTATTCAATTACATTCCTATGTTAAGTCACTCCCACTAAGAGAAAATTAATCAACCCTTATATAAATAATACAAACGAGATTTTTTAAACTTCTATGGGGATATTGTTACTTTCAAATATATTTCAAGAACACTGGCAACATCTAACAACCTCGAAATATAACTGAACATAACTATAATTATTTCAGACGAAACGCTTAAGTTAAAGAATCAAATTTCAAGAAAAAAGTATTAGAAATCATAATAAGAACCACTTTAACTAGACATTCTTAAATCAAGGATGAAACAAAAGTTATCTTTAAAACAGCTTCAGAATATTTATGTTTTTCGAAAATTTATATACGTATATCTAGGTAATGATTTAGACAAATAAAGTACTGGGAATTTAATATTACTTATAATAACTTTAATTTCAACATTAGTTTATGTAAAGTTTAGTAAAAGCAATTAGCTGTTTTTAATAGTTTACTCGCTGCTCTGAAAATTCCATAGACGGTAAAACAACATAAGTTCATTATTTCAGAATTATATTATTTACTTTTCATGTAAAAACAAATCTGGAATTTATGAACGTTATGTGTTGCGCCTCTTATAAATTAAATTATGAGCTCTTTTGTGACAGTTACGATATTTCTTTTGCGATGACTTATGTTACTACTCTTTTACAAATTTTGAACTTAGCTGAAAGTACCAATATTTGCTTTATTAATATTTATATCTGTAAATCCAGTTTCATTTGAAATAAAATTATTTTATGAATATTCATATTCATAATATGAATTCTTCGAATTTTATATGAATATTCATATTCATAATATGAATTCTTCAGAATTCTTAATTTATATTAAAAATTTTATTCTTATTATAAGAATAAAAAATTCCTTTGTTTTCAAAAATATACATCAATATATTCTTGCATTTTTTTAAAATTATCTTTTTTTAATTTTCACTATGCTGTCTGAAAAATCTGTGGCCTGACGCAAAGCGAAACCACTAACTAAAAACCACCACCTATAAAAACCAGTAAAAAGACAATTTTGCTGCCAGATGAGAACAAACTTTTAAATGACGCCGCGTCAAATTTTACGCCATTTTAATTATTACTATTTATTTAACAGCCATTGAAAAGCAGGTATTTATTTGACATCTTTTTTTCATCATGGGAAAAAAATTAATTTCACATGCCATGATAAAACGCAAAAAAAAGATAAAGAAAAATTTGATAAATGTCGCAAGGAAATCTGCTTCATAGAATTTGATAGATGAAATTTGGCGGATAAATTAGGCGGATTTGGCGAATAAAATTATGCGGATTTTACGCATGTCTAAACGTGTACAACACTAGCTTTAAAAATGCAAAATGGTGTCCTGATTGTCCAAATCATTATTGTAAAAATCCACGACATGGTTTTGGATGACTCAAAAATTAGAGTTCTAAATTAGCTGAGACCTTAAGCATCTCAAACGGACAGATGAGCAGAATTTTGCATGAGAATTTAAATATGAAAAAACATGAGAACGATAGGTGCCTTTGAAACTTTTGCCAAATATTTTACTGTTTCTAACCGCACATAACTTGTAAGCGGGGTAGTATCTATCATATCAATGGGAAACCATTCAAAACACGTTTGTATATTTATGCGACCCACAACATGAACAACAAAAATTTCCAGTTCCTGGAATGGTTGGCGTGGCTTGTTTTAGACTTGTCACTGGCCATGACTATTTACAGAGTCACCCGTACAGAATGAATAGGCCCTGGGCTATACAGATATTTGCCCCCTTTGCGACAAGGGGCGTGCCCATGGCTGAAGAATACCTCATCATAAAGAATACTTCATAGCAGAGATATTTCTCCCTAAAAAAGATCAGAAAATTCTTAGAAATGAGGTCTATAAAGCATTGATATATCGGTCTCCATTGTGATTCCAAATTTTTCGAAGGATTCGATTAAAATGTTATGTGAATAAATATAAGCTCTATATAACTGAAGCATACTATGTACTGTGTTTGATAATGTATACATTCATTACATTTGTAAAAGAAAACTCATAGGGTACTAATGGATAAGATATTATGTAATAGATTGTACAATGTTTAATTGATATAATATTTTTTAATTGCTTTTTTAA